GTGAGTTTGTTGTATTTTTTTCAATTCGGATATATTTTCCTGATTTTGGTGTTGTTATGTGTACTAACAGGTCGGAACTTTTGCCCTTTGTAGAAAAAGAGACCAAGCAGAAAGAACCGAAGTTGAGTCCGGAGTTCGGTGGAAAGTTGATTACTTTGGCCAGTTTAGATAAAGAAGTTCGAGATTATCGCACGCTCTTAGTAGATTCGAAGCTCGAAGCTGCTGGTCTGTCTCTTGGAGTTTCTACTTCAAAATTTGACCCCGGTATGAAAATTTTAGTATATGGTGATTTTGTCGGACTTTCTATACGTGTAGGATAGTTGTTTGTAACTCTGTTTATCTATTGCCGGAATGCAGTATATTATCCACTCCTCGGCTTTTTGGGATATAGCTCGGTCAAGGAAGCTAAGGAATTCAGGCGCAAGTTTCCGAATAGAGATCTTCAATCTAAAGTTGGCAAGAGTCGAGATTTGAGATTGAACGACGCCATGAGGAGAGATCTTGTTCGTGCGTTGGTGAAGAAGACTGCCGGCCAGAAGAATACTGGTAAGAAATCGACCGAGGTGGGGTCAAGCGCGACTTCGGCCGCTATTCCTGAAAACCCGAAGTCTATGCCAGAGGTGACAACTACTGAGGTGCTGTCGGTCGTGAATGCTGCTGCGATTAACCAAGCAGATCCTGAGCCTGTTGTAGCGGGAACAGAGATAGTTACGGCCGAGGTCGTTCACACCGATGTGCCACCCTCTTCTCTGAAGTCTCTGGAGTTGGTGGAACAACCAGAGAAGAAGAAGAAAATAAAATTGGTGAAGATGGCAGATGTTGGCGCTTCTTCTGAAGTAGAAAAGAGATCAAAGAAAAAGCATGACTCCGGTCGTAAAGCCGTTGAGAAGGGTCATGATGAGTCTCCCTTATTCGAGAAGTCTTTTTTAACCATCGATGAAGAGCGGGCTGCCAATGTTAAGGTGCCCGAAGGTGTGGTGGAGGAGTGGTTCACCACTTTCCAGTCTGTTAAGACGCCTCACATGTCGTCTAGAATTGAGATGCCAGAGAATGCTAAAGATGCTGCTCGTGTTCCGTTAAATGTGTGGGACCCCAGATCCGAGGTGGGGGTCTCTTATTTGTCAAGCGCGGACAAGCTGAGTTATGCGAAGGCGTGCGTAGGCAGGGCGCTGGTAAGTTTGGTTGCTGCCGAAGACGATCACCGCCGAATTGCGTCGCAGTTAGAAGGGAAAAAAGATATAATAGCTGCACGTGACGTCGTGATCGCCAATTTGAAGGAAGAGTCTGCCAAAATGGAAGCCGACTTGAAGGGCCAGCTTTCTGAACAAGCTGCCTAGTTGGAAAGGGCACGGGCCGAGAACTCGGTGTTATCTGAGGAGAAAAAAGCTTTTGAGGCCGAGGTGGCCGATCTTAAGGCGCGTCTTGCCGTGGTTGAGCAACACTTCAAAGCTTCCGAGGCCAAGGTGGAGGAAACAGTGAAGGCGCTGTCAGATGAGAAGGCGGGGCATGAAATAACTCGCCAAGAGTGTGCCGAGGTCCGCGAGCTGGTAGGTCGGCAAAGGGATGCCCATCAGGCCGAAATGGCGAAGCTTGAAAGAGAGAAGTCGGCTTATGGTGAGACCATGTATGAGATCGGTTTCCAAGCCGGCAAGGAGACCGTGGAGGCTGTGGAACCGAAGTCCGTTGGTGACGTCGAGATCGAAGCTGCTGAGGTCGATGAAGATGATGAGGTCGGTGGACCTGACCTTGAAATCAAAATGAATACCTGTCTGAACCTCCGATGGGTTATTGAGCGTTATGACGCGGGCTATTATGATATTGACGACATCCGTTTGTTCTTGTTCCGTAAACTCGAAAAGTACGGTTTTGACACCGAAATAAAGGGAATGCATGTGGAGGCGGACGAGGATGAACGAGAATTTTGCGTCTGGATGCTTCGTCGGTCTGAAGAGATGAATGTGAATCCCGATTTACCGCCGCTTTCTGAAGACAGAGCTGCTCTTCTTCGACGTGCCTACGTCAACATGATTTTAGAGGGCGAGAAAGAGAAAAGGAAGGAACTGGCTAACATATATCTTTCAACTCTCGCCGATGTGGAGGTTGAGCAGCATTTCGATGATATGACCCCGGAGCAAATTCAGAGTCGGGTCAAAGCCTATATTGAGGAGAAGGCAAAGTCAACCGACAAGGAGGTCGAGATTGTCAAATTCGTTGCGCCGGCTGAGGATGATTCTAATAGAGTACAAGATCCTCGTGATGAGTTAGTTCCGGTGTCAGACGAAGCTATTGAAACCGCTGCCAAGGCAAAGGAGTCGCGAGTCTTAGAGCGACTGTCTTCAGGAACTGACGTCGGGGAAGGCAGTGGTACCGGGGACAACGTAGAAAAGAAAACCGATGCGGCGTGAAGTTCAGAAGTATTAGTATTATTTTATACTGTTTGCATTATTGTTATTTATAAGAGGATATCGGGGTGCCAGGATGTTGGCATCCTTAGTAGGAAAAATATGAATATGTAATCGGGGATATCAGATAACTGAGTCCCTTAGTAGGAAAATATGTAAGGTTTTTCTGACATTTTTAAGAAATATATATGATATGTTTGCGTAATATTTGTTGTGATTTGCGTTTGCTGTTCATATTTCAGCGATTTTGTCAAAGTGCTCTGAACTCGGTACAGATTTTACTAAGAATTGCTCCAACTCGGATTTATTCATATCAGTAACCGAGTTGTAAGTTTTTTGTAAAAATAATTTCCGAATTCCACTTTGATCTTTTATAATAATTGCAGCCACAAGTGCAAGTCGATATGCGAGTTTTCAAATAACTCGCGAAACTTAACACATTTTTAGGGCTGTACGGGAAATAAAATAGAAGTCACCGAACTTCGTCAGAGTTCGATTATGGAATGGCCCCAACCGATTTATATTTTTTGTATTCGGTAATATTCAGGACTCGTCAAATCATGTGTGTTGAAGTGACGTTTGACGTGCGTCGCCCCTATCCGAAACATGTGTGGAGTTCGAATATATTATGGGGTGTCAGCGAGACCGAGTGTCGCAATGCTTACATCGGTAAAAAAGATTCATAGAACCGAGCTTCAAAATGTTTACAACGGTACCGAGCTGCTGCTCGGATTTTCAAAAGCGAAAGCTGAAAGGCCTTCAATTCATCAAAAGGGTTACTTCGTACATTCGCCGAGGCGAAAAGAAGGTCCGTGCAAAAGAAAGGTGGGCTATCCGACTTCGGACCATTCACTGATAGAACTTTCTCAAGAACACAGCATTCCAGGGATATTGATGAGGTGTTCCGTCTGGATGAGCGATCCGATATGCTCCATGGGGTAACACTTCAGTGATTTGATAAGGCCCCTCCCACTTTGGTTTGAGTGGTCCGGGGTCAGGCCCCATTATGCGTTTGAGGACCAAGTCTCCAACTCGGAATGAACGAGGTTTGAGTTTAGAATTGATATATCTCTCACTTCTTTGTTTGTAAGCGGCATTCCTGAGTTCGGCCCGGGTACGATGTTCTTCAAGCAGGTCTAGATTAGCATTTATGTTTTCCGAGTTGGCCTCTTCGGTGAAATGTTGAACTCGGTACGTCGGTTCTCTGAGCTCGATCGGGACCACAGCTTCTGAGCCGTAAGTTAAGGAAAACGGGGTCTCGCCGGTAGAAGTTCGAGTGGTAGTTCGGTAAGCCCACAGGACATGTGGTAATTCTTCCGGCCAAGCTCCTTTGGCAGCGTCAAGTCGGACTTTAAGGCCGTTTTTTATTAGCTTATTTACAGCTTCCACTTGGCCGTTGGACTGCGGGTGGTAAGGCGATGAGAAGAAGTGTTTGATGTTATATTCTTCGCATAAGGACTCGAGTTGCTTGCCTTCAAATTGCCGACCGTTGTCGGTGATGATGGAGTTCGGGACTCCGAAACGGCAAATGAGCGATTTCCATATAAAATCAACAACTTTCTGTTCGGTTATTGTGACTAACGGTTCGGCTTCAGCCCACTTAGTGAAGTAATCAACGACTACGATGGCAAATCGAACGCCTCCTTTTCCGGTTGGTAGAGGACCTATGAGATCAATCCCCCATTTGGCGAAAGGCCAAGGACTGTAGATCGATTTGAGCTCTTCGGGAGATTGATGGACATTAGGCGCGAACACTTGGCATTTCGGGCATTTGCGACCCATGTGGCAGCATCGGTTTTCAAGGTCGGCCAGTAATAACCTTGTCGCAAAATTTTGTAAGATAATGCTTGTGCACCGGGGTGACTTCCGCAAATCCCTTCGTGGACTTCTTCGAGAATGTACTGTGACTCAGTTTTACTCACGCATTTTAAAAGTGGGATGGAGTATCCCCTTTTAAACAAAGTTCCGTTGTCCAATGTGTACCGAGCTGCTCGGATCCGAAGTGCACGAGCTTCTTTTGGGTCTGGGGGCAAGGGCCCAGTTTCTAAATAATGTATAATAGGATCCATCCAAGTCGATGGCTTTTGTGGCGTCACTGGATCGGTAGTTGCGACCTCAAAAAGTGCAGTCGACGGTTGCTCTTGCTGGCCGATTTGGACATACTCCGCGCTCTCCATCCCGGTACTTGACGCCAGTCGAGATAAGGCATCTGCTTGAACATTAAGAGTTCGGGGGATATGTTCGAGGTCGGCGGAGAATTTTGATAATTTTCGTTTGGCCAAAGAGAGATAAGGTGTCAATCGAGGTTCTTTGACTTCATATGAACCATTGATTTGGTTGACAAGGAGTTGAGAATCCGAGAAGACTTTAAGGTGTCTCACGTTCATGGATTCCGCCAAATTCAATCCGGATAGCAAGGCCTCGTATTCGGCTTCATTGTTGGTTGCTGGGAAGAGAAACTTTACCGAGTGACAAAATAATCGGTTTTTCGGGTCAGCTAAAACTATCCCTGCGCCTGCTCGGTTGGCTGTTGAGGATCCATCAATATAAAGGGCCCATGGTTGATTATCACGATGAACTGTTATGGCCGGAGTGAACTCGGCGATGAAGTCAGATAAGGCTTGAGCCTTGATCGCGGTCCTCGGTTGATAATGGATGTCGAATTGTCCGAGCTCAATGGCCCATTTGACCATGCGTCCCGAGGTATCAGGTCGGTGCAGGATTTGCCGAAGTGGATACGAAGTGCGAACAGTTATAGAATGTTCTTGGAAATAAGGTCGCAATTTTCGGGCTGCCACTACAAGTGCAAACGCCAACTTTTCCATCGGAGGGTAACGCAGTTCGGCATCGTGCAAGGCTTTGCTGACATAATAGATAGGCGATTGCAACAGTCCTTCTTCACGTATTAGAACAGCGCTAATGGCAGAATCACTGACTCCGAGATATAAGAACAACATTTCGTCAGGTTTTGGCTTTTGTAAAGTCGGCGGAGAGGCAAGCGTCTCCTTGATGCTAACGAGAGCTTTTTGGCATTCCTCGGTCCATTCAAAACGTTTTCCTTTTTTGATTGCTTCGAAAAAGGGTCTGCAACGATCTGTAGACTTGGAGATGAACCGGTTGAGTGCAGTAAGTCGACCGGTTAGGGCCTGAACACCTTTAACCGAGGTCGGGGGAGTCAGATCTTGGATGGCCTTTATTTTGGCCGGATTGGCTTCGATTCCGCGCTGGCTGACCATATAGCCCAGAAATTTTCCAGATTCAACTCCAAAAGTACATTTCTTAGGATTTAAGACCATGGAATAAGATCGGAGGATGGCGAACATGTCTTGAAGATGCGTTATATGATCAGAGGCGTGTACCGACTTGACGAGCATGTCATCAACATAAACTTCCATAGTGTGACCGATCAGTGTAGCGAACATTTTGTTGACGAGACGTTGATATGTGGCTCCGGCGTTCTTTAACCCAAACGGCATCATAGTATAACAGTACAAGCCTCGGGCCGAATAGAATGAGGTGTGTTCAGAATCTTCAGGATCCATAGGAATCTGATTATAGCCCGAGTAAGCATCCATGAAACTCATCAACTCATGTCCCGACGTTGCATCGACCATATAATCTATGTGAGGAAGCGGATAACTGTCCTTCGGGCACGCCTTGTTCAGGTCGGAAAAATCGATACACAGTCTCCATAGCCCATTGCTCTTTTTGACAAGAACAGGATTTGAGACCCACGTCGGGTATTTGGCTTCCTTGATGAACTTGTTGTCGATGAGTTTTTTGACTTCTTCTTCCAACGCCTTCTGACGATCCGGCCCCAGTTTTCTTCTCTTTTGCACAACAGGCCGGATGGTTCGATAGAGGTTCAGCTTGTGACTAGCGACACTGGGGTCGATACCCTTCATATCTTCGTGCTTCCAAGCGAAAACATCATAATTGTGTTTGAGAAACGAGATAAGTTCTGACCGAAGAGGTTCTTGAAGATGGCTTCCAATACGCAATGATTTGTGGAAGACTGGTTCATCGATATAGATCAATTCTATGTCTTCTCCAGGTTCGGCTCGATCACTTCGGCTTTTTTCTTTAAACAAGGCTCTAGGGTCCAACTCATCCTCTTCAAGAAGTGGCTCCTTTCCAGGTCGGCGACCTTGGTCCTCGGTCAAAGGATCCGAGGTGGAAGGATCACCGACGTGGTTGTTCGGTTCTTCGGACGTCGTGTCGTTTGAGACGCTTTGTGATGGAGAGTTGTTTGTCGAGGTGGAATGGACGCCGCTAGATGGTATGAATGTAATAAGTTCTCGAGCTTCTCTCTGGTCCCTGAAGTGTGTCCCTTCTCCTCGTGTAGTCGGGAACTTCAGAGCATAGTGAAAAATCGAAACTGCAGCTCGAAGTTTATACAAGGCAGTTCTGCCGATGATGGCATTGTATTCATTATTGATATCCAGAATCTTGAAAGTTTCCATGACGAGCTTAGTGACATTCTCCGAAGTGCCGAATCTGACAGGTAAAGTGATCTCGCCGATAGGCTTTGAAATACTGCCATTGAACCCTTGTATCTGGTCATTGCAAGGTCGGATGTCGGCGGGATCAAGTCCCATTTTGTCAAAAGCTTTTAACATCAAAATGCTTGAATAGGCCCCAGTATCCACCATAACACGATGTACGGGGATTCAGCATATTGGGACGGTGATAACAAGTGCGTCGGAATGAGGGTATGCGAAGTGATTAGCATCCTCCATATTAAAAGTTATGGGACAATTCCGATTATTGAGGATATCCCTCAAATCTGTAGTGTACACTTGTTTGCTGGAGTTGTAGGCTTGTCGGGCGTAAGCCTTGATCTGTCGATGGGATAATGTACTCCGGGAGTTATTGGTATTGACACGATGGACGGTGATTTGCATCGGTTCAGGAGATCGACCTCGTTTACGTCCTTGGGCAATTCCAGTAAAGTTTGAATCGGGTGTTTCCGAGGTGAACATAAATACTTCCTTGTCCCCTTGTCGGATGCGTTTTGGCATGGCGCCTCGGTCCTCTTCATCGTCTTCATCAAAGGGTTCGATCTGACGTCCCGGACCTCGCCTCTGGGGATCGGTATTACGGTAAAACTTTCGAAGTTACGGATGACCAATCAAACGCAATAATGCGGCTAACAAACTCAAACACTCGTTTGTGTTGTGCCCTGGCGATTTATGATAATCACAATACCGGGACTTGTCCAGTTTTTCTTCGGGCATCCGAAGTGGTTTGGGATCTGGTAAAATGCCCTTCCCTTTGATTTCTTCATATATGGTGGCTGCTCCCGCAGAATATACAGTTTGATAACCAGACTTCACATCGGTAGCATATTGTTTTCAGGCCGCTCGAACTTCAGGATCGTTGGGATCTCCCCGGGGAGGCCCCCTGAACTGAGTCTTGTTTTGTCTTTCAAAATATTTGTTCTTTTTCTTCTCATCGGTTCCTGCCTTAGATGACTTCGGATTAAAGTTAAAGTCGGGGACCGACATGGCTTCCTCAGCTATAATATGTTGCTGAGCTCGAGCGAGAAATTCTTGAAAAGTATTCGGTTTATTTTGGCATAGTGTCCAGCGGAAAATTGAGTTCGGTTTTAGCCCAGCGATAGCCATGACAAGCAGAGTTTCAGGATGACAAGGTTCCATATTCTGAACTCGGTCATTAAATCGGGCAATATAATCCTTGACACTTTCATCGTCTTTTTGAGTGACATTTGCAAGAGATTCTTTTGGGATTAGGCAGACTTGAGCCCCGATGAAATGAGATCGGAAAGCCGACCTCAATTGTTGCCATTTCCAAATAGAGTGAGGAGGGAGAGAATGGTACCATTTTTGGGCTCGAGGCCCCAGCGTGAGAGAAAACATACGACACCGAAGTGCATCCGATGCTCCATGCAGATCCATCCATGAGGTATAATGACCGAGGTGTGAGTCGGGATCTAAAGTTCCATCATATAGTCCAATTTGAGGGACTTTGACTTTCCCAGGCACAGGTTCCGAAGTGAGCTCCGGCGTGAGGGGAGAGTCCGCTTCTAGGTATACTTGTGCCGAAGTTGAGGCCCGTCGGGGTGGATCTTCTGGCACCCTTTGCCGACTCTCCAATTCGGCAATCCTCCGTCGTAATGTTTCGAGCTCTGAAGACTCTTGACGAGCCAAATTTCTTTCAATATGCTGTCGAAGGTCAGTCTGCGCGGGATTAGAAATGATTCGTTGTCGGGCCTGAGGTAGCGACCGTCGTGAATGCCCAGACTGACTTTCTGCGGTTTCTTGGCGAGGAAGTACGAGGAGGTTACGTCTGACGTCGGTGCGACGCGTAGTTTGTTCCGGAGGCGGTTGCGACATTCGATCACGAGGTTGAGATGTAGCATGAGATGTTGTCCTTCCACCGTCTTGTCGCACCGGTGGATTCTGCTGGTTTGCGGGAGTCGTGGGAATGATGGAGTGTCCCGGAGCGGTCATCGATGTTCCCGGAATCGTTTGGGCCATTAGAGCAGCAAAACCACGTGCAAACTCTGGATTTTGAAACAGAACAGCATAATCCAGTATAGGTGGGGCCGCGGCTTGTCGTCTGGCGAATTGCGCGGCGCTGCGACTGTGGCCGTCTCGTGAGGTATGACCACGATGTTCTGAGTGAGACATGGTGAATATGGCTGGCGTGAATCGCTACACGTGAAAGCGGATAGTAACCTCAAATCACTTAAGAGGCCCTCCTTCTAGCGCCAAACTGTTGTTATATGATTTTTAACAACGATGTAACAAGTGATTAAGTAGATAATTATGAACGGTTTGGACGTAAAGCATGTAAAAATAACTCAACAATGGCCCCGGTCCGAGGTGAACCGAGGTGCAGAGCCGTTATGGGCTTTTACGTGTTGCATATGAATGAGTTCGGGGATCCTCGTACAAATGTCATAGGCTCGCTATTTATAGTAGCTTTTTCGATATACACCTTGGGATTCGTGTATTATTTTTCGTATAAAGTAACTTTTTGGCGAGCGGTTTGTAGCAGTGGGTCCCACGTGAATGATGATAAATCTCGGGGGTTGTGATGGGTGTGTAGACGCCTTGTCACCTGCTTTAGGAGGTGACGACCTCGGTTTTAGTTGACCTCGGCAGGTGATGACCTTGATTTAAATTAATGTCGGTAAGTGTAGGTTACTTCGGTCTTCGGTAGTTCGGACCGGTTCATTGCGTGGACTGGTGTGGCTTCGGATCATGTCGGTTCAATAGTTAATTTCACTTAACATGATGCTTGAAACTCCTTAATGGTGTTTTGCCGAGTCGGATGATAACAACAATAGTACATTATTAATCCTTAGACTTGAGGCACGATGGTAACTTTGTGCATATTATATTTTACTTTGATTTATCCTTTTGATTGCTAGCACAATCGTATAAAGGGATATTTTGGGTATTATATTAATATGTATGGAAGTTTGTCAGTGGTCAACAAAGGATTCGACACTTATGAAGATAAGTGAATTTCCTATGTGTTTCATAGTTAGTAATTCAAAGTCCTTGGCCAAGGCGGGATGAATAGAGATTCATAAATGAATTACTAAACTTGAAATGGAATCATAGTTATTAAATCAATTTGGGTTTCGACAAAATCATACCCAAAGATATAATCGGGAAATTGGATGTCGAAAGGATTTTACATGTATGAACTTGTAATCGAAATAGGTTTACTCGCTATTCACTTAATACTAGATTCATGCTACTTGCTAGATGTTCCCATGATATGTGGGTTCTTGAATTAAAGAGTTAATTCAAGAATAGTTAATATGAATAACTCAAATTACAAAGAGTTGTAAACCCACTACTAGTATTAATTGTGAACCTAAAAGGTCACACCAATTTTTGAATGAAGGTAAAATTCAAATAGTATTTCTAAAGAGTTAGAATTAATTGACAAATCTAATTTGATTAGATATCAACTAAAGGAATATATTAAATTAATCATTTAGATTGATTAATTGAATTTTGGATATTAATTTAGTAATTAATAGAATTACTAATTAATAGTTGGAATTTAAAATTGGATTTTAAATTTCAAATCCAATTAATAATAAGATTATTAAATAAGGAAATAGAAGAATATATTAAAATAATAGTCTTGAAAAATGTTTTCAAGAATTATTATTTATCTTTAATATGATTGAAGATTAAATAATAATAATAATAAATTAATTATGGTGGTTAGGAGTTGTTAACTAATCCACATAATTAATCTTATTTTTATTAATACAATAATAATGATTGATGGTGGTTATAAACCAATCACATGATTAATTAAAAGTCAATATTTGGTATGATTATTTAAATAAAATTTGATTTTATTTAAGATAAAATATATCAAATATTGATTATTTTATGCTAAAATGTTTAGTATAAATAGGTGCAAAATGTTTGCACATTAATGGCTAAGTTTTTGAGCTAAATTCTTCCAAGAGAAAAATTCATTCAAAGAATTGAGTGATAATAAAAGAAAGTGTTCTTGAAAAATTTCCTTATAAATATATATTCCATACTTATTGAATATATATTCCATACTTACTGGGTGCTTTGTGCCTTTGCCTTTCCTGCAGCCTTCTTCCTCTTCCTGCCCTTGTGAGGCCTGGAAGGTCTGGCTTGCTCGGCAACCATCACAACTGATTTCTGAGTAAATAAGGCCTCAGCCGACTGGAGTTCTGACAACAGTTCTGGAAGAGCCATATGCATCTTGTGCATGTTATAGTTCAACCGGAGCTGATCAAAACTCTTCGGCAGAGATTGGAGC